TTGTGCTGAGGCTCTCAAAATCCTGACTACCAAAACCTGAACAATCCTGGGAAATTCAGAACAGTTGGCAAGACTGTAGCCCTAAAACAGATTTTTTTAAAAAGGCATGGGAAACATGAGGCTACTGAAACAGATGAGGGGTGACTGCTCCTTTCCTCAAAGCATCTGTTCATCTTGTGAAACAAATTAATAACTTTCTCATCAGGGTTGTTAATAGAAGGGTTGTTAATAGAAAAAAGACTGACAACTTGCTTTCACAGAAAACTCTATCAGTTTATTGAAAAAAAATAATTTGCAATAAATTTCAATAAGTCTGACATGGGATGTAACAGAAGTGAGGAAAGTATAGATCTTGATCACTACTTATACAGCATTACTGTAAAGAAAATCAACAAAGCTACAATGGGATTTTGAAATCAATAGGCACTGAGTGAAAGAATACACAAAGCAAAGCTAACAGCATAAAAGCTCTTTTTAACAAACAAATAAACACTGCAATGAGAAATTAATTTCTTGATTTAAAAAAACATTGGTTAGCAGTGAGCAAAAATAAGCAAACATGGTGAAATTTTAACAAACCAATGAACATGACAATGAATGTTTGACTTCCTGATTCTGAGAGTAGATTATGTAAGTGTCAATAGGCACTAGGCAAAAATAAACAAAGCAGAACTTAAATGATAAAACTTGACAGCTTCAACTTAGTTTAGTTTTAGTAAGTGTTTTACAGCACTTGCAACATAATAAGGTCACATAATTGCTGAAGATTACAGGTGTTACAAGAGAGTAAAAACACAATAAAAGAAGGAAAGTTCAGGACGATAGATGCTTGATGGGAAAGAAGGAGCAAACCACACCAAAGTACCTGCCAACCACCGCACAGTTTCAATATCAACTTCTACCTCTCTAATTGAACAAAACCCAACATATTTTGATTATAACAAGTTAGGGCCACACACTGATTTTTTGGGTCCAGTTTGGGGCAAGACAATGTTTTAGAGGTTTTAAGAAACTTCCTTTGAGAATTACATACTAAATGAAATGGAAGCTCAAAGTCCTATTTCAAAAAGATAGCTCCATATCATTGTGAGCCAATACAACGATTTTTTAAGCTCCATATCATTGTGAGCCAATACAATGATTTTTTAAGCTCCATATCATTGTGAGCCAATACAATGATTGTTTAAGCTCCATATCATTGTGAGCCAATACAATGATTTTTTAAGCTCCATATCATTGTGAGCCAATACAATGATTGTTTAAGCTCCATATCATTGTGAGCCAATACAATGATTTTTTAAGCTCCATATCATTGTGAGCCAATACAATGATTTTTTAAGCTCCATATCATTGTGAGCCAATACAATGATTGTTTAAGCTCCATATCATTGTGAGCCAATACAATGATTAAGCTCCATATCATTGTGAGCCAATACAATTATTTTTTAAGCTCCATATCATTGTAAGCCAATACAATGATTTTTTAAGTTAAAACTTTAAAGCAATTTTGTGATGTTTTTGCTCATTTCCTCACAATGAATAATAATAATAATAATAGATAGCATTTGTATAGCGCATCTATATCCCCGCTCAACAGCAGGCTCTATGCGCTTTACACTATATTATTACCCCAGCAGACCATAGTACACTCCGAAACATTCTCAGCTTCCCTGGAAGCATACAGTGCGAGCAGCTGATTAAGCGCTCAAACACTAACAAACTGACAAGATCTTTCGCTGTCTATAGCCGGGTACCCATTCCCACCTGGGTGAAGTGAGGAAAATTCGTGTGAAGTGCCTTTCCCAAGGACACAACGTCGGGCCCTTGACGGGATTCGAACCCACGACCTTACGGTTGCGAGTCCGAGAGCCTAACCACTAGGCCACCGACGCCACATTTTATTTTGTTCATTTTATGGCTTTAAAAACTAAAACTATAAGCTAAAAAACCATTCTATATGAAGAGATGGAATTTTGAGGGTGCGTGCACCGTGTCATTTCAAATAAAACAGGAAAGAATTTGAAAATATTTTAATATGGCACTGACGGAGTTGAAGAGCACAGGCCCAACATCTTTCGAGTTATAACAAGTTAAGAACTTATGAGTAAACTCTATAGATTCAAACAGAGTATCCCTTACGTCTGGACATCAAGGCAAAAACCTATATTTTCAAGAAATAATGTAAAATGTTTCGTTATATCAATTTGTTCAACTGAAATATTAACAAACATCATCTACGATATTATGATTTCCATCATTCATATATATATATATATATATATATATATATATATATATATATATATATATATATATATATATATATTATTGCACAGATCAAAGCACTTTAAGCAATTCACATGAAAATGATGCAATAAGTCCACACTGGCTTCAATCTGAGATAATAGATAATTCATAGATGTGTCCAGACTTTGAGGACAGCATGTGTATATATCATCAGTGTCACAAGCAATCCACTCAAGTCTGTTTCGGTACTTTATACACCAGAGACTAAAAAAAAGTTTTTGTTGTGTTGTTCATATCAGCAATCATGAAAAGCAAGAAGTCTTGACCATAGCATTAAACTGAACTTTGGTGATGTTGAAAGATGCATCTTCAATCAGTCTTTGGGAGGGTGTAAAAATAGAAAAATCTCAAAATTTGGACTTAAGTAGATCGCTTGCAACAGCGACGATAAGCAGGTATGAGGACTTATAATAAGCTCTTGATTAATGTGCATACATTTGAGATGAGAAATGCTATCAAGAAACAAATGAATCATACAGTGTTCCCAGCACCAAATGTAACGTTTGAACATCACCACAGGTTTTCTTAAAACACTGTAGACTTTAATGCACCAGCACCAGACAGCAAGTTTTTTAATAACTAACATCTCACCTGCTACGCACAATGTTTTGCAAAACCTTTATTACTTCAACTTCTGTAAATTCCCTGTGTTTAGTAGGCTGCAAGAGAGACATCATCATCATTGCCTTTCTCACCCTGCATCAGGGTATACACCAAAAACACTTTCCACCTGTCAATATCCTGGGCTCACCTCTTAATGTTACTCCATGTCTACCCACTTTTTTGTACATCAATTTCTGTGAGTCTTCTCCAGGTTCCACACAACAATAAAAAAAAATAATGAATAAAAAAATTATCAAAACATGGCACATAAAATCTACAATATAATATGTGTCAAGACACAGTGGAATCAGGCACTCATCAATTGGGCATTTGGAGTTATTGTTGTCATCTTAAAGCTTGTTCGTTTGGTTTGCTTTTGATGAATAGAAGCTGAGTTATTTATGTTTAAAGGAGGTAGGGGTCACTTGTTAGCACAGATAAAATTGCGAGAAAATGCTGTCAAAGTTTGGTGATTTCCAAAATTTCAGAGTCCATGGAAACAGAAAATGTATATTTTTTGTGCTTCTGATCAACGCTTTCAAGTAAAATCCACACAGAAATGTGTTTTTAAATATATATATAAAAGGTGTTGAGGCCAAAACAGAAAAACTGATAAAAATTGCTCAAAGGGCCGCAAAATGCCGGTTTCTCCGAAGCCATTATTTTGATGAGCGCCTGATTTCACCACGATGCCTCACATAAAGAGAGAGAAATTTCAGGTAAAGCCATATTTTGTTTTTTTAGTAAGGTTTTACGGCGCTCGTAAGGTCATATGAGTGCCAAGGGGTGGATGTCAACAGAGAAGTTCAAACTGGGAATCAGGTTTACTCTGCTCACCTCTCTAGCCTCAACAGCACAAAGTCTGCTTCGACTATCAAGGCACCCCAGAAATAGCAGTTCACAAGAGAGTGACAAACATACAAAAGAAGTAAACGAAAAATGACGATAGCAAGGATGAGGAAAGAAAAAGGAGCAGTTCCCCCATGTGGTTTCGGCACAGTATGAGCATGACATTGATAAATCAGCCCATTTACTATTTACATTTTTACTGTCCATAAAAACATGTTAATATCACCCCTTTGGGAATGGCCTAAAGACACTTTAGTCAGTAGCACTGGCCTGCTGGGGGGAATGCCATCTGACATAAAAATTCTAAGTATACATAATGTTGTCAGTAGAGGAATTTGGATTCAATGCCCGTTTGAACACAGTAGTAATGTTATTGAAAAGGCAGGATGGATCAGAGATTTAAAATGGTATCAGCTACAGGACAAAGCCAAGTGAGCAACGAGCTATGAAAACTCGTCAAGCAGCCAATGTTCAAGAAAGCATTGTTGGGGATTCCAACTATACTAGGTGCAGTCCCTCACACAGCAGCCAAACAAAACACAAACTGAACGGGCTAAAAGGAAGGCTTTAGGAATAAAATAAGGAACAAAACTAGTAAACTGCTCTGACCACACATAGTGAATACACGCACAATCTGACTAGAGATTACAGTGGAAACCATACATAACAGGCCCGGTAATAACAGGGATTTTTTAAATCCCTGTTTTTTCCAACTCTCTGTCTCTATTAGAAATGATCGGCAATAACAGGGCATCATCGGAGCCCAATCGGTTATAGCAGGGACAAAGGCTCGATAACAATGTGTAATAAGTAAGAGAGAGAGAGAGAGACGCAGTGATTGAGCAATCCCACGCAAGCAACGCTACTGCTGTGCTTCAAGCACACACATTGGGTGAAGCGAGAGAGGGCTGCGGTGTGCTGCAGACTTCGGCCTTCTAGCCCTAAGCCTAGCTACACGCATGCGTAATGTGTCATGCGCAGGCCTACCAATGGACAAAACCCCTGTTCGGGGGGCATTCATGGCAAGGGAAACTACCCATGAATAAATACAGCTGGATTAGTCCACAAATTCTTACTTTCCTTGCATTTCTGATTTAACAGGGATCGGATATAACAGGACTTTTTCTCTTATCCCACCATCCCTGTTATATCAGGTTGCAACTGTATAGCAACTCATTGGTGACATTCAAAATCAATCTTCTAATCATCCATCACTGCCTGTATTAAACTGGTTACTATGATTTTTCATTCTAACACTGTTTTATTCTCAGTTTTATGATGCTCTGTACAACAAATCAGCCATTCACAAGAAATCAGCAGATGACATGACAAGACTCCAAATATAGAATCGATTCTGAAATCAGAGAAAGCAGACATTCTCAATAAATCAATTGACAGCAGAAATCAGTCCTTCACTCATAGTATCTCTCTTTTCTAAGGAATCAGTCCTTCAACTGCTGCAAGAAAAAGAAAAGCAGTCTGTGAAATGCATCCGGGTTGTCCAGATAGCAGGCATGTCCAGCACCTTCTATGGGCGCGTACTGAGCACGAGGCAGCTGCATCAGGTTTTTGGTACTTTCAGCTCCAAGCATCTTGTCATTTGTTCCAACAACGACTAAAGTCGGAAGCTGAAACAACAGAGAAGACGAGTACTGCAAATCAGACTGTGGTCATCATTCCAGGACAAAGAATTGTAGAAACAACTCAATTTAAACTAAAACATCTTTATGATAGCCATATATGATACAAAAATTATATGTTGTTCCAATATTACAGTACCCAAAACAACGTACTTTTTTTCTGATATAAATATTTTTCTTCACTTTTTTGGCTTGCATAAAAAAAACCCTCACTACCAACGTCACTACTTGTCATGAAAAAAAGACCACACGTTATTAAGAAATAGTTAGAACTACATACCATAAAGAAGTTACTAACAACACCATCAGTTACATGTCATCACAGCGAAACAAGTAACAACCAAAAACTTAACATACTTTCCAATCTCTACAAAAAAAGTGGTGACAAACTTTTGTTTCCAATCTTCTACCCCTCACCTCAACTTGTTTATAGTTGGCCACAAATTTTTCGGTGAGGACGGGAGCCACAGGTACATAGCCTCTGCTCCTGTCTTGGCAAGACCCAGGCTTTTCAAACAGATAAGGCAAGGAGAAAGATCCACTCATTGAGGGCGATACAATCACTGGGCGCTGCAGGTCGAGCACTCTCATCAAACTCTGTAATAACTCAGAGTTAAGCTCTGGTGCCATAGTATTGACACTTTTACCATAACCTGAAAGAGGACAACAGAATATCTATTACGCAGTGATGATGTGTAGAAAAATATGAAAAAAATCCACTTGTGTCGTTAACTACACATGCTCAAATTTGCCTTTCTACATTCCATCAGAAGAAATAAAGAATTTTGTGTTAAGTCAAACATCGATTTACTTTTGTAGCCCTAAATACTTGATTACTTTATTCCATTTTCAAGAAAAGAAACTAGGCGAATACATCAGAAAAGAAATTCCTCAAGACTCAAGGACGGGATTCTCGTGGCCTAGAGGTTAAGGTATTCGCCTCTGATTCAAAGGTCCCTAGTTCAAATCCGGGTAGCGACGGAAATTTTTTTTTCTCTAAAATTGTCTCCTTTCACCTCCTTTCCTGCTATCTTGCAATGTTCTGTTGTCTGCTTTCGTCTCCACTTTCTGCCCCCCCCCCACCCCCTCACCTCCTTTGCCCCCTCCTCTAGGCTTCTGACTCTTTCTGCAGCCTTTCTACTGCTACTCCCTGGCTCCATCTTACTGCTCCGTCTTTCAACCACACCCCTGATCTTCTGGTAGGAAAGATCTACTTCTAGCCTTCTCAGACAAGGGCGAAAAATCTCGGAGGTCCCCTTTGCAAGTTGCACAAGTTAAAGATCCCTTGGTGGTCTAAAATCAATAAGAGTAGGCTTCGGCAGCCACCCGAGCAAAATTCAAAATTTCCCCTACCAACTGTAAATGTTTAATGTGTCTCGCGTGCTCATATGACCGTATGCAGTTGCCAGGGGCATAAAACACCCCCCAAAAAAGACTCAAGGAACAGGTTCATGAAATAACTAGTTTTAAAACATGTTGTCCTGAAAAGGTGACACAAGACGGCTGCTATAGACGATGCAGAAAAAGTTCAAATTTATCAAATTTATCAAATTTACTATGAACGAATGTTACATCCCAGACAATGGAAAGTAACTGAAGCACTTCCGACACTTTAAATCAACAGGTAAATGTGAGACGTTCTCATCAATAGGAATTTCACCTCTTCTATTAATATCATTTTATATGATATCAACATAATATGTGAACTATTTAAATTCTAACGAACAAATTGTTTCTCACAAGGACAGTAATATTTTGAAAGTATTCAGACATTGAGGGCTAATTTCTAGATAGCGTATCAAAAAAGTTTTAAACTTTTAGGTTTATCATGAACAATCCTGACCCCCCCCCAAAAAAAAAAAAAAAAAAAAAATTTCCATCTCCATCCACATTTATTAAAAGATTTCAACAGTTTAAAATGCCATCAGTTCACTTACATTAAATCCAATGTGAGAATTCTGACAATGTTATTTCAAAAAGAGCCACAAGCAAATTATATCAAACTAATCAACCTGCAGGGTGAGTCCCTTTGAGTAAGAGAGGAAACGTACGAGGTGCAGCACAAAATCTGGATTGCACTTAAAACATAACTTCAAACTGAAACCAAAGTGACTACAACGCTTTTCCTCGTTATGAGAATATATATATATATATATATATATATATATATATATAGGCCTACAGGCACTGGATGTTGTTCGCAGCCTACCAAGCAGGTAGTCCCACATGTTCTTGACAAAACCAGGCAACCGCTGAGCAAACTAAAGACATCAAGACAGTACACATGGCAGACAATTAGACATGTTCAAGATTTCTACCATGCTATTAATATGACACCTTTTCCAATTCAGCTCTTAATATTTAAGTTGCAACCATCATAAATGCATCCTCAAGCAAATAATAGATGGGAGACAAAACACAAAAAGTTTGAACTATAATTTGAGAGGGAAACCTAGTTTCCAAAATTTAAAAGAGAATTACAAAGCAATAACACAAAAGTCATCATATTAATTATGTCTGCCAAAATCCTTTACAACACACATTTTACAGTCACAGGAAAAAATCCCCAGGCTTCAAGGACATATAAGGTACACAAGCCAACAAACTTGAAACTTTATAGCAACATCTTACCTGGAAGATTTTAGTAAATGTTTTACGGCACTAGCAACACAATAAGGTCATATATAAGTGCCGAAGGTTAGAAGTGTTACAAGAGAGTAACATACACAAAAAGGAGGGGAGATAAGGACGACATATGTTTGATAGGAAAGAAGGAGCAAACCACACCAGAGCACCTGCCAACCACCCACTTACCTGGAAGGTCTACAGCAACTGCTCGGTAACCCCAGTTGGCCACATGACACACAGACTTGATATCCAACCAGTTCTTGGAGGAAAATCTCATTCCATGCAAGAAAAGAATTCCAAATCTGGGTGTACTGTCTTTCTTCACAACCTCTTCCACATAGATTTTGAGTTCCTGGAAAAGGAAAGAACAAAAGCAAAGTATAACAAAGTTTGACAAGAAGAGACAGCACTGCAATGAAGCGATTTATTTCCACAAACATAACTTTTGCAGCTGTACGTGAGGGCTTAAGCTGACTGTGAGGAACTAAGCTCCCCTTTTAGTTTCACTTAAAAATTAAAAATATTTCCGTTTTCTACATCCGTTTCAGCTTTGATGATTACGATTCAGTTCCCAGCTTGAAGTTTAACAGCCAAGTCAATGGTCTATCATTAGCAAGAGTTTTAAGGCACTTTTCTTTTCCTTTCTACTTCCAGTTGTTCTGTATACAAGTACAAGTTTTTTGCCTTTAAGTTAAAGGCAACCCTGTTTTTAAAATAACTCTTTTTTACAATTACCAAAGCTTCATATTTCGGTTGATTTACTTTTTTCTTTGGGAGATGGTCTAATTGTGAATCATATCTATATATATCAAGAAAACCGGCCTTTCACTCAGAGGATGAGCTCCTCTATTTTTATGTCTTTCAAATGTCAGTGTGTCTTTAGAGCAAAACGTGCACAATAGTACAACCGCGTTATTCATCCTTATTTATTCAAGACAACTATAAACCCATACACCATTAGTTTGGAGGAGCCAAAAACTAAAGAAAAAATAAAGTGATATCGACCACCACAAGGAAAATTCTGGCCATTGAAATAGGTACTTTGACAAGAAAAGCAATGATCCCCATCGGAAAAATGATACAGGCTAACTCTTAAAAGTGTGCATTCATAGTTTTACTTGAAAATCAATTTTATAAATCCTTACTTTCCAGCCTTTAGTATCAACTTAAAATTTTAACAAGCCAACTGAAAATGTTTTATGGCTCACACTCATGTTGCTATCTTTAACAACTCTACAGTCATGCACACTGAAAACATGCAAAGAAAAGAACAGCAGGAGGCCTTATCTATTTACCTTTCCTGAGACAGACACGTTTACTGTCTTTGATACAGCTGAAAGAGACTTTTCTACTTCATCATTCAAAGCAGGTGGGGCCTCCAGCTTAGTAAAATCCAATGTGATCTGCTCTCCTGATGCCATGGTGACCTGGAGATAATAACAAGACTAGTTAGTTACAGGAGATCTATTTCAACTTTCAGAGAATGCTTTCTGGGTTTTAACAAGAAGTATTAGCCATGTGAGCTCCCTGTCTATGATTTCTTTCTTTCTGATGTCCTCTGTTTTCTCCAGGTTGTCCATTCCCATCTTCATTGTTCTGACATTCCAGGTCCCCAGTGTCCATGTGATTAGTCTTACTCTTTTTTTAAGCCTGGTGCTGGGTTTTACATCTACCTTCCAACTTTTGTACTAGCTCCGTACACCCATAGAGGCAAACAGACACAGCAGATCAGCACCTTACTTACTGGAGGGCTGCCCAGTTTGAGACGGCCAGTAGCTGATCAATGCGACTGAATAGTCACTCCCATCGTCAAAGGTGACCCCTGGCAACATCTTTTTTCGCCAAATAAGGATGCTTTATAACCTGAAAACTGTCACCTCCAGAATTTTTCCCTTGCTTCTCACAACATGGATGAAGTGTTCTCTCCATAGTCACATAAATGCTGCTGTAGTTGAGCTGTGGGTCTGATCCGCTGTATTTGCTCTTTTGCAGTGTCCTCCCAGAAATATTGATAACTTGACTAAGCTAAATGCCGGGGCCTGACTGTATGGAGAACGTGCCTGGCCCAATTTGCACGAGCCCCCTCTCAACTTTGCTGATTTTGTCCAAAAGAGTGACAAGGTCAATACATTTGGAACCAGTGAAGTTGCAGGGGCTGCCAGAAGAGTTCAGATCATTCCTTCCCATCAACTGCTTTAGGGGCCCTCCCTCCGAATTTTCTTAGGGTTTACTTCCTTAGTCTTTCATACTTCCATATATATGCACCTAACGTAAACGTGGTATTGGCACTAGCAACTTTATACTACTTTTGAATCTATATGAGAGGCATTGTGGTGAAATCAGGCACTCATCAAAATAATGCAATCTAATGAATTTTCACATGTATTATATCTTCAGATCCGTCCGTCAGCTGTAATTACTACTAATCAGAGAAACTCGGAGACAATATAACGAAAACTTGAATTCAAAAAAGGGAGACGGGTTTCCCATTTTGAAAAAAATGAAAAAAACAACAAAATAACTCAAGATTCAATGAACACATAATGCAAACTAAAGATTCAACAAAACTGTTAGAAAGGCAAACAGCCCTCTGCTGATGTGGCTTTATACATTTTTGTTTCACAACATACCCTGGCGACAGCAATTCCAAGAGACCATTAAGTACACATGTACATGCAGCGTAATTTGTTACACGCTAACTGCGTAATCTTATGCAACCAACCAGAAGCTTTCTTTAAAACACCAACATATGTGCATTGTCAATTGTTGACCTGCGAGTAAGACATGACATGTCTTGGCATGTGGCGGATAAGGAGAGGTAAGACAAGCGATAAGCACACATCATGTGGCTGTTAGCTCATGTGTCCAGGGGGATGGGAAGGGTGAGGGCATCGGCACAATGAGCATTCTGGGCTTGGAATGTCGGCAGAGATACAGACGCGTCACAGTCTTATCACCCCCCCCCCCCCCCCCCCCAATCCCCCAACCAGCTACTGAACAATGAAAGGCTAGATTAGGCATCAACAGGATCTACATTTAGTTGTATATAATGAATTGCATGCTGGTCTGTGAAAACAAATGTTGCTGTGTGGTGACCTATACATTGCAATGCAACTTGTTGCTCACATTGCTTATAAATATAATTATAACGAACACTCAGATTCAAAGAAAATAAATATCACGCCCGATGACTTCGTTATAAAATAATATTGTATTATCTAAGTTTCACTGTGTAAGCCCAAAATTTTGACATTTTCAATTAAGTCTCTCAATCTGTAGGGTCGGTGGTTTCATATGGGGTGCCCATTGGGGGGTCGGGGCAGTTTGCTAGCAGGGCGCAAAGTGGTTATATCGGCACAAGCCGATCGCGCCACACTCGTTGACACAATTACAAACGCGCTTGTTTTCAGGCGCCCAGGCGGGAGATCACCCCCGACCCAACCGCAATGGGCACCCAAGAGCTCTTTAAAAAATATTTTGTAAATATTCAAATTCTAAAAATACTAGTAAAGTAAGAAGCATATAAAAGACATGCTAAAAGGATGAAACAGTTTTTTACTTTCTAAAATAAAAATGTTTTTGAGTTTAGGACATTTGAACTGCTTGTCAACGAACACGTGAATTTGATTGGGATTTCGGTCGTTACTCATTTATTTATATCTAATTGGTTACGATGCCAATGGAATTGATAAATTGGAACTCGACACAGAAACATGAGAAGGACTCTATGTCAGACTATAGATGTTAATGTGATACAGGGTGCCCATTGGCCTGGGGGAATCGGGTCGCGGAGGTTCGATAGCCAGATTGAGGGAGCAAAGCGGCTATCATGGCAAAAGCTGATCACGCCCGGCTCATCGACTCAAAAACAAACGCGTTTTTATTTCAGGCAATGAGGCGGGCGATCATCCCGACCCGAGAAGACCTGATCCCCCAATAATGGGCACCCCGTTTTAGAAAACGCGTGAAGTGAGAATTCAGTGTTACTTTTTATCTAGGCCAGCTGTATTTGGACTCGAGTCCGATTGGACATTTTATCTATTCGGAATCGAGTCTGAAAAAAATGTTAAAAATTTCATTCGGACTCGGCTTCTAAGTGAGTTTATGTCATAATATAACTGTCATCAGGGGTTTTACGTAAAACCAGATTTAGAACTAGAATTACCTACCAGGACTGTGTAATTGTGTCAAAAGTCAAAAGACTGCACTCTCATATTGACCAATGGCAGTGTCTAAGTTTAAGTACACAGTAACCGACAACTCAGGGTCTTTTCACCACTATTAACCCACAGCATCACCATCATAACTTCCACCACATGTCTTTCCACATGTTTAATTTCATTAAATATTGTGTGTAGGCCCAATATAGTTTTTCTGTAATTAATTTTTTTTTAAATCGCATCGCACAAAATCGACAGCCGTGGCCTCTTCCCCCCAGCAAGCTGAGAGTGCATGATCACTACGCACAATCCCATTGCCATTGGTTGACCAATTAACTTTGCCCCCCGGCAAGGTCAACTTTACTTGGTTTCTGTTTAAATACTAATGATGCAGGGGGGGCCGGTTCTGATAGATCTAGTAACTGGAATGTTAAGGGGTGGGGGGGGGGGGGTTGGGGTGCGGCAGCTGAAGACTATCTCGCTTTAGTGGAAGGCCACCTCTATTCTCACCCGGAGTGAGAATAGTGCAGGCGAGTCTTGTGGCTATTCTCACCTGTGCGCGTTCACCAAATTTTGCGTTCACCCTAAACCACAGAATTCTACACTGTGATATAACAGAAAAATTGTAGAATTCTGTGCCGTGAACAAACGTTCCATTACAACTGTAGCGTACAATTTTGTCTGTGGGCAGTGGAGAGAGAGAGAGAAAGAGAGAGAGGAGTAGCGCGAGAATTTCCGGGCAAAACAAAATGGCGACCCGCGTAGTTCGGCTCGATTCGAAAAGTTAAATAGCCGTAGCATCTTTGTAGACAACCAAATTAATTTACTTTTGTGTTTTAACATCATTTTTTAACTTTGTTTTGGTCAATTTGATCGTCCACACCGATAGACAGTATTCAGAAAGAGACAGAGAGAGAGAGAAGAGGGGAGGAGTTGGATCTTGCGAGAACTTCCGGGCGGGTGAGAATAGCCACTTTCTTAGTGGATCAAGTGTTATCAAATTTCACACATAGATCTTTAACAAGCATAGTAAGGAGTTTCAAGATCCCCGCTGAGGCTTTAGGGTTCTTATGTGATGAAATAGTTGTAATTGTAAGAGAGGCTGAAGAAGCTAAAAATATAACTTAAATATCCATAGCTTTGAGCCGAATCGGTACTTTCAGGGTGCCGTCCTAGATCTAGATCTAGAAGTCGGTTCCAGAGAAGACAGACGGTCGTGGACTTGTGGGAGACAAATCACAAACTGAAACATGTGCCGCACTCAGCACTGTGCCGTGACTGTGTCACTGTGTACATTGTGAGGAACTAGATCTAGAGATCAAGATCTTAGATCTAGATCTAGATTTCTAGATCTAGATCTAGATCTATCTATTCTATACAAGATAAAAGCAGATCTAGACTATTTATAGGTTAAAACAAGCCTGAGCCTACCAGCTTTTAATTTAGATCTAGATAAAATAGTACTTGTCCGAGAAGGCCCACGCCCCACAGTCCACAGTTCAATAAGTGTTTTGAACAGGAGAAAAGCGACTTGGTGTAAACAAAAAAGTTCAAAGGTCAAAAATTACGG